CCTGGAGAAGGGTCAACCAGAAGAAGGTCCCTCAGAGGGCTTGGCTTTGGGGGTCTGAGTTGGACAAGACCAGATTCTGTCCAGCATGCCTTGCTGGGCTTCATGCACCACACCCCTGACCGGCCACGCCCCCCTTCACAGCTCCTTTCCTTTTCTCCACATATCTGTCTCTCAAAAAATGTGGAAGTAAAATAAATATTTCAAAAATTTAAAAATAAAAGTTTTATGTCTCCTGTTGTCTATTTTTAAGCAGATTTGCTAAACTTTTCATTGGTTTCTCGCAAACACAAAGCATCCTGAAATGAATAAAGTTGCCTTGTATTTGTATGATTCTTGAGTCTTTCTTGCACTGTGGGTCTGGGACCTTTGTTTACAAAAAAAAAAAAAGTTCCCCACCCATCAAGTAAAGCACATCTTCATACATTATCACATTTAATACTCACATCAATCTCAGCTAGAAGGCATGAATAGGAATATTAGCAAGCCAGGACAGGAATCCAGGCCTTTCAAGGCTTAAATCCAAGTCCTGTCAATGCTGCCATGAGGTTCTAAGAGCTGGTATCAATAATACTGTTAGTAACAGTAAAGTAACAAGGACGTGATGCTGACCATGGCTCTTCTTTGCTTTACTGCAGGAGCTTGTGGAGTGTCCTCAGCTACTCGATGAAGGACAAATCACTGCTGTCCCCGTTCCAGAGAGGACAGCAGTTCTGTGTAAAGCCAAGTAGGTAAACTACGTTCCTGCACAGAAATGGACTTTACTTTTTGAGAGACCCAAGAAAAACCGTATGGGCGGCTTGAAGGCTAAGTCATAGGCTGACAGGGGTTGGTTCAACATAAGAGTTGACAGCCATAGGTGCGTTTTCAAAGTTGCTCTGTGGCCATTCATTGCTCATGCTTTTGTTCTTTTGTGAGAGAACAGGATGCAGGGCCTGGAAGTCAGAGTGTAAAAATAGCAAGGCTGAGAGCCCCAGAAAGTCCCACTTGTGCTGAGAGCCTCTTGGGCCAAAAGCAATACTTGGCATGGGAACAAGGAGCCTATCTGTGAGCAGTAAGGACCCACCCCTTCCACCACCTCCGGTGTTGGTGTTTGTGCCACTGGCCTGGCTCCACCCCAGCGTTTTCGCAGGGACAAGCTCCTGCTTCCCTCCCTGGTGGGGCCTGTGTGTGAGGCAAGCCTGCCACTAATCATCCTCTCTCATGGGCTCACTTTCAAGAACCCAAGGGTCAGAGAAAACAAATTAGAAGCTACCAGCAGCAGCTGGAAATTTCCTCTCCTGACCTAGAGGCTACAGGAACAAGGAATGGGTGAACTGAGATTCTAAATTTGGCAAGATCTGCAGTACTGAGCACAAAGCTTTCCCTCAGGTCCTCAGAATGGCACTCACACCCCTCCTCAACATTTGTGTACCCAGTGCCTTCGGTGTGCGAGGCATGGGTGAGGGGGTGGGGAGGAAAGAAGAGACAGATTGATTCATTCAACAAATATTTCCTGTCTACTCTGTGCCAGGCATTGTTTCAGGGCTGAAGATACAGAGGTCATCGGATAGACCTGGTCCCTGCATCGGTTACCTGGAGCAGCAGTTCTCAAGTATCAGAGTCACCTGGAGACCCTGCTAGAACATCGACTGCTGGGTGCCACTCTCAGAGTTTCTGACTCAGTAGCGGCAGAGAATTTGCATTTCTAACAGTTTCCAGGTAGTGCTGATTTCATGCTGTTGGTTCCAGACGGAAAAAGTAATCATTCATTCTTCTGTATTGAGGGCCTCCTATAAATGTCAAGCTCTATTGTAGAAGCTGCGAATATGGAAATGAATAAAAGAGGCAAAATTGGTAACGCGATCAATTGTGTCTGGGGATGCGGTAGCTCAGCTGTTGCCAACCTTTTTGGCACCAGAGACCGGTGCTCCTATGAGAATCTATCTAATGCCTGATGATCTGACATGGAGCTGAGGTGGTGATGCTAGTGCTGGGGAGTGGTTACAAATACAGAAAGATGAAGCTTCGCTAGCCCACTGCTCACCTCCTGCTATGCAGACCAGTACCGGTCCGTGGCTCACGGGTGTGGGACCCCTGGGGTAGCCTATTTCAACAGGCTGGTGTGGAAAGGTCCTGAGGAACAATGTTGCCCTAAACTACAAGGGACCAGCCTTGGGAAGAGTGAAGAGAAATTATTCCCAATAGAGGGAATAACCAGTACAAAGGCCAACTGGCGAAAAGAGCCTGTTGCGTCATTACAGTAAGGTCATCTGAGTGAGGGATAAGGTCTAGGATAAGGTTTCAAAATCAGAAGAGTAATTTGCACAATGCTCCCACTCCTGGAGAAGAACAATCTCTCTTTCAAAGTGTTAGTTGCAGCTGCTGTCAAGTACTCTTTTGGGTGATGTTATTCCTGAGGGAGTCAAATGCTTTAATGCAAGTGATTTGAATTTAGTTTTCAAACTTATTTTCCTGATCACTCAGGGGTCTATTTCC